AAAATCAATATGCAAATCGTCAAGATTATGTGTTTTATATATTAGACAAAACCTCAATAAATTTAGAAAATGCATGAAATTTAGTAAATTTGAATCAAATTTTTATGATAATTTTTGTTTCGGTCTATGCATATATTAAAAAATTATCATATGATAATATATATAAATGATTGAAATGATTGACAATTGTTATCGACTAAGTCTGAAAGTCAACAAAGTAGCACAATAGTTGCAATATCACAGTAAATAAGAAAACGGTAATATCATGTTAGAAAACTGGAAACCGAAACCACGAGATTAAAAGCATGAGTAATACCGATACCCTTTTGTAGAAATCGTTTTAGTACAATCAACCATTCAAGCATAATTAGTTACGTTCATTACTTTGTTTGTAACAAACACAACTGCTTTAATGTATTTCATGTAATTTCATATAAAGCCACCCCTGGGGTGTCAAATAAATAAGCATCAACATCGCTATGGAAAGCGGGGAACTTGTAAAAAGACTTTCTTTATTAGAGGATCAGAAGAATTTACTATTAAATAGCGCTAATAAACTAAAAGGCTGGCTTGGAACTAACGACGATTCTTCTTCTATAAGTGACAACGAGCACGAAGAAACTGTAGCAGAAAAACTAACGCCTGTCAACATGGTCCATGCTGAAGACACATTAATCGAGCGACAAAGTCTTTCAACTTTGGAGTTTCGAGTTCATCATTTGGAAAAATCAATCTTTGGTTTTGATACAATTTCAAAAAGAGTGTCAGCGCATGATAAGTTCAAGGAACAACTGACATTACTAAAGCGAGTTGATGAGATCAAGAAGGAGTTTAATACCATTATACGTGATGAGGCTGACGGTTTGAAATCGTTCCTCGAGATTTGTAAATATCTATTTATTTGTTTTGACTATTCACTTAAGTAGGACTGTCCATCTAAATGCAATTTGCTGGACTTGAAAAGAATGAAATCTTGTATTTAGAAAAAGTATTTATATACTGTAGACCTTGTACCTAGATAGAATTTACGAGCGTTACCTTTAGAGATCGTGCACTTAAAGATAGTCGACTGCTTTTTTTTATTTTCCTAATAACTTGTTATTTATAAAAATTACATTATGTTAACAGACGACCAGGTATCGGACCTCGTTTCTCCCTTCAAAGATTCTGCACTCGCAATGGAGAGAGTTGTACTTACACCTGAGGCTAAAGCTGAAATCGTTTGTTCTTCTGCGGAAGAATTAAAATTAGTAGCCGATAATTTAGGACAAATTAAGGATTTACAAGAATCTATAGATGCTCCAGAATTCAAAGGTCGGTTAAATTACCTGTATAATGATCGATATAATTTCATGTGAAATGTTAATTTATCTAAATTGTCATCGGTTAAACTTTTATTTTTATTAAGGCCTCGATAAGCTCTTTCCTCAGGTTACACCTATTGAAACCGGTCACGTAGACCAAGTGGCTAGAGCTGACGAAACTTCTGCTCACATAACATCTTTGTTGGACAAATATAATATATTTGTATCCTTTATCAATTACTGGATTTCCTTTAAATTTACTAAATTCATCTATATTATCTTTGATCAAAACTCGAATAATTCTTTAGGTCAATATACTATCGGAAATTTTTATTTCCTGGGATCACATTCTTTCAACTCTTGATGCACATATATCCGCACTTGAGCGAGCAAAAGCAAATGAATAATTGAATAATTGAATAATTTATAAGTATAATTAGTGGTTATAATCAACTGAAAATTTATAAGCTTAGCCGAGTCGATAATTCTAAAAGCAAGCAACAGTAAACGGAATTCCCGTTTGGCACTCTCACATTATATTTTATTTTTTGCATAAATAAAAAAAAAAAAAAAAAAAAAGGAAATTCTATTTTAACCTGACTTAAAGTCTACTTTTTTGATACGCCTAAATATACTCTAAAATTTCTATACTTTTTACTGTTATAAACGTTTTATTATATGAGTGACGGCAAGAGAAAACCTGTAAATTATGCTTTTTGAATATTTAATAAAAATATCTTAAAACCAATTGAACATCTAAGATTTTAATATCATTCAAATTGTCTTAATAAGATGATATAATTACTTGTTTTAAGATATTTTTTATTAAAAGTAAATATTCAAAACAGATTTTCTCTTGCTGTCACTCATATGAAACAAGCTTACTCAGGGGTCCCTATTCATGGAGTCCGGATGGATAGAATTGGACTTTTAACAGCCCTAGGCGATACAGTACCTGATAGATTTCGATGACCATTCCGTCATAAAATGATACGAAATCGCGCATTTTTACTTAAGGGTAGAATAGAAATATGCTAGTTTAGAATATGTTTCTTACAGTAATGAAAGTTTTAATAGATAAAATATTTATCGCTGTTTTCGAAATAATTGAAAATGGAAATAATTTTTTTTAGTGTACACTCATACACTACACACGATTACCTTAACACGTTGATTAAGAACGATGTGTAATTGTTCAGAACAATTACATAAAATCCGGTATCGATCTTAAATCAACGTGCTAAGGTAATCGAGTACGTATACGAGTGTATGAGTGTATAAGTGTACGTTAAAAAAAAAATTGAAACAGCGATACTTGTATATATCATAAAGTTTTCCGGGACTGAATTTACTTTTTAATAAAATTCATGCTGATTAACATATATTCACAGCCATTAAATCTTTGAAGAATGTCTGTAATTCTAAGAAACTCATATTTGAATTAAAATTTAATTCGAACTATTGATGTATTGATACAAAATAAATAGACATACATGGTTTTGACATCCTTCTGCCTATACACCTTATCAAATTGATCAAGAAATACTTTCTCTAAAATCTTATAATATTTTTCAATGACGCAACTGTTTTTAATACAACCATAAGTACCGTGTTGGAAGAAAAAACATTGTGAAAATGACGCGAACTTAAGTCTTCAGCACCAGAAAAACTTCCATCGCAAGAGTATTCAATCCTCTAATGACAATAGTTAAGCCGAATTTTTAAGATCAAAATTTGACCAACTTCAAATTCTATAAATAAATTTTTATATTAATACCTTATATTACCTTAAACTCTTTATGCTTTTAAGTTCACCAATCTTGATATGCCACTTTTAGAAAATATTCAATTAAATTTTTTTGATCCTGAAGCTCGGAGTCTTTGTCTATCAATAAGATTTTAATTGTACCCTTAATTATAATAACCAACTTTGTTAGCAAGAAATATACATGTAGTAAGCAGAATTTTAATTCAAATTAAACACATTACCTATTCTAAAAGTAATATTATCTACTTTATCAATTCCGGTACAAATTCTATAAAATAGGATAAATCAATAACATTCTGAATTGCAATGAATAAAAGTTATAATTTCAACAAACCTCTTAAAAATCTGTTATTCTATCTTAAAAGTAGTTTTAAGTTCGTGCAATGACCTGCTTCTATTAATTGTACAGTCGCTTCCGAATCTTTGTTTTCACCAAGTTTAAAAAGCTTTACAATGGAACTTTCAAAGGTTCTCATAAAAGGTTTAGGGAATTCTATAAACAGTTGGATACCTTTAAGATTTGCATGTTTCAATAAATTTTTTGACGTGTTCTCTATAAAATTTCGAGTCGTGAATTTTCACGCGAAAGTTAAGAACTTATAAGTAGTCGATTCCGGTTTATTATAAGGCAGATCTTTAGAAAAGCTAGCATTTCATAAATTGTAAGGCTTTGCTGTAGAAATGATTACGCTATTTTATTTTATTTTTGTGATAGCAAATATTCTTACATTTTTGAATTTAGATATCAAATCTGACAGTCACGTACTGGTACGCATAAGCAAAACGTTAATAACGATTATCAGTTATTACTAATGTTTTAGTAAACTTTATAACAATCTTTAATAATAGTTTTAGACTTTGCGAATATTTTTATTTATTTTTTATCATTTTTTTTACATTATAAAATTTTACACTGAAAAATTTATTATTTATTTTTAATACGTAATATTAACTTTATTAACTTTATTAATAAAAAATATATACAAATAGAAAACATATAAATTAACTAAAAATTGAGATACTTAGTTTCGGAGAATATATCTCCTACTTATCCCAACCACCGCGTAAAGGTGTATCTCA